ACGACTACCACCTGCTGCTCGTCCCCGGCATGGTGCGCAAGAAGCTGCCCGACGCCAAGATTGGCTTCTTCCTGCACGTTGCCTTCCCCTCTTCCGAGGTTTTCAGATGCTTGGCCGTGCGCAAGCAACTTCTCGAGGGCATGCTGGGCGCCAACCTGATTGGCTTCCAGATCCACGAGTACACTCGTCACTTCTTGCAGACCTGCAGCAGGTTGCTGAGTGTCGAAGCAACCACTGATGGCCTGCAGATGGAGGATCGTTTTGTCGATGTGGTTAACTTGCCCATCGGCATTGACCCTGTCAACCTCAGCGAACACCGCGGCGACAACGATGTGAAGAGATGGGTCGAAATCATGAAGGAGCGCTACCAGGGCAAGAAGCTCATTGTAGCCCGCGACAAGCTCGACCATGTTCGCGGCGTTCGTCAGAAGCTGCTTTCTTACGAGCTGTTTCTCAACAAGAATCCTGAATGGCGCGACAAAATCGTCCTGATCCAAGTCGCTCTCTCTGGCAGCGAAAAGTCTGATTTGGATGCAACTGTTAGCGACATTGTCACCCGAGTCAACTCTTCCTGGGCCAACTTGGCATACCAGCCCGTCGTGTACTTGAAGCAGGATATCGACTACCCCCAGTACCTTGCCCTGTTGACCATGGCCGATGCACTGATGATAACGAGCCAGCGCGAGGGCATGAACCTGACATCGCACGAGTATCTCTTCTGCCAAGACGGTGAGGTCTTCTCCGAGAAGAAGCACGGCTCGCTCATTTTGTCCGAATTTACTGGCACATCGTCGCTGTTTGGCGGCAACGAGCTTTCGGTCAACCCCTGGGACTACCGCCAATGCGCAGACGCAATCAAGACAGCCCTGGAGATGGGCGACGAAGAAAAGGAGCGCCGTTGGACTGCGCTCTACTCGGCCGTCATGCACCACACCGGATCGCACTGGTTCAGTGAATTCTTGTCCCGCCTCGACCGCGTGTACGACGAGCAACACAAGCACGACCAGACGTCTGTTCCGCGTCTCAACATCAACACTCTTGCTCAGCGATACGCTCGCAGCAATCGACGACTGTTTATTCTCGACTACGAAGGCACTTTGGTTAGTTGGGGCCCGATGAACCAGATCATCCCTGTCAGCCCTCAGGTAAGAACCTTTTCAAGAATCTCTGCTTTATTAACAAGTCTAATTGGAGCAGCGTACCCTGGATGTCTTGAACGAGCTTCTGCTCGACGAGCGCAACACCGTATATATCATGTCCGGCCGCCGCCCCGAAGAGCTCGACCGATTGTTCCGCCGCGTACCCAACCTCGGTCTTATTGCCGAGAACGGCTGCTTCCTCAAGGACTGCGGCAAGAACACCTGGCAGGAGATGGCCGACAGAGAGCAAATCTCTAGCTGGAAAGAGTCCGTCAAGTCCATCATGACTTACTTCCTCGAGCGTACCCCCGGTGCCGAAATCGAAGAGCGACGCTGCAGCTTGATCTTCCACTACAAGAGTGCCGAGGATTACGAGTCCGCGGCCCGCCAAGCTGGAGATTGTGCCAGTCATGTCAACGATGCGTGTGAAGCACAGCGAGTCCACGCCATTCCTCTCGACGGCTCCATCGTCGTTGAGCCTATTGACTGGACCAAGAGCACAGCGGCAGAGAAGATCTTTGACGACCTCCGCGTCCACATGGCCCCTGACTCGGAACACAAGAGCCCCGTTGACTTCCTCATGGTCGTTGGTGATGGGCGTGAGGATGAGAAGGTGTTCAAGTGGGCCAATGCCCTTGGTGAAGACAAGGTCGTCGAGGATGTTGTGACTGTCAGCTTGCACAGCCGCAACACTGAGGCTGGTGCGACGTTGACACAAGGTGTGAGCGGTAAGTTGATTGTCTCCCTACTCAACTTCAAACTCAAATACTGATTGCGACTAGGTGTCTTGCTGGCTCTCCAGAAGCTTGCTACTACTCAGTAAGGCGAGCTCTAGTCTGGGCTATGGTGAAGTCGAGCAGACGGCTCTGCGCTGTGAACCCTGTGCTGCCAACGTTTGGACGCACAACATTTGATCGTAATTGACCTGGCCTTGCCACCAGGCGAATGATACCACAGTGGGATAGCATGGAGAGACGGAGTGCAAAGGCGTATAAAACAGGAAGCTAGGATTTCTTTTTCATTTTTTCTTTTCAACTATTTCCTACCGGCGAAGGAAGGATCACGAACATGGCATTTGGGAAACGATGACGACTGCATTGGCATGCATCATACGCATACGAGGGGCGACTCTCGCTAAGGAATATTTCCTAATGTCTTTTTTTTCTTTCTCTTTGACTCTTTTCCCAGTTCCTGTTTCTTCTTCAGTACCACACACACCTCACGAGTTAACGCTTAGTTATGTTCGCTGCCTGCGGATTTTAACGTGAAGCTTGTGACGATGCCGATGACTGACCTCGAGACGTTTTACCACTTTTTCCGAGTACACAACCCTCTACTCTGCTGTATTATCAAATTCTTGTTGTTGCGTATCGTGTGTAATTGGTGGCTGAGGCTTGAGACAACCTCCCCCACCTGGTACCATTAGGGTACCTGTTCGTGTATTTGTACGAAATGGGACGAGTAAAGACGCATGAAGATTAGAAGGAATGCGGAGATTTAGATTGGGGTGCAGGTAGCATCATACCGACTGTCATGGCACGCTCACATATGGATGAATGACGATTCCTGCTACCAAGTTACGTGACGTTTCTCGTGAGTGATGTTTAATACCATGTGTATCATGACGAATGAATACTATCTCTTTCGCCGCCTTTTTCACAACTTTGCTAGCACGTTCCGATGCCAGAGTCTCATCAACGGTCCATCTGCTCCGTACACTGGATCCCGTTCCGGCATACCTACATCTCTGATGACGGGGCTGAAAGTATCGGCTGGCTTTTTGCCCATTTCATTCACCCATCTTGGGCAACCCTAGACCATGTGTACAGTTGTAAGCTGGATGCCTCGTGCGTTTGTGTTATGTGGTTTTAAAGAAGGATGAGATGTGGCCAGAGTAGTTGGTATTTTCTGTGTCTATGGGGAAGAAAAGGGGAAGCAGGGTAGCAGGATTTCAGATGAAGGTCGTGACAACAGAAGGATATGTATGTCGTGAACAGGAGTGAGTAGACTGACCTCGGGATAGACGCCGATATATCGGTAATCTTCCGAGCTCTCGAGACAAGAATGTGCCGTGCCCGCGGGGAGGACGATGACGTCGCCCGTCGATACGGAGATTTCTTGGCCTGTGCCTTCGCTGATTTTGCCGATTAGGAGGGTTGAGTGGCCGCTGAAGATGCCTGTGTGATGGTCAGATACTTGTCTAGAGCTTTTATTCTTCACGGCTTGAGATCAAGTAGAAGCCGTATGAGAGGATAAGGTGAATGTTGGTCAGGATGATGAGCTTGGTAACACGTACCATAGCACTCGTGGCTATTTGGATGGAAATGACGGATGGGGATATGGCCCCAGGTACCCTTTTCCCGGGAGCATGGAAGTGTCAGTTAAGAATGGGGGTTTCACTCTCAGTTTTTGAAATATGGAAGGCGACGGTGATGAGAGAGATCTCAGAGAAGGCAAGGATTTCGAAGAGAGTGTTTGAGGTCTAGGCTGTGGTCATGGCCATGGCAGACTCACCCTCTTCTCCCACCGATGCCGGGTAAGGAACTCGGTCACCGACTCCTCATTCCGGGGTTCTGGGAGGACGTTTCTGTAGTGGATGACAGGGAGGGGGCTGTTCGGAGCGTCTGGGTTGGATGAGAGGAGGTAGCATTCTACTTCCATTGATGAAGCCATGATTTTGTTCTGGGGAGCTTTGTGAGGTACGAAATGGGTTTTAGTCAAGACGAGAGAGATGGCGCTCCGACGGATAGTCTCAGGGGCCTAAGAGGGGAGAGGAGGGACCAAGCTTCTATTCTTTACAGGGTCTGTCTCCTTTGGAGTGTTTGGTTACGTAGGTACTCCAGATGATACCTCAACTCTGTGGCGAGAGAGCAGGGAAGAATTACTCTATTCGGCAAGTCTCTTTGCTTACCATTTTCGTGCCCGCTATCGGTGGGAGCAAACCAACCCAAAAACTAGTCACAAGTGTCAACAAAAGGCGGGGGAATGGAGGGGCTTGGAGGGGATGGACGGTGGTGGAGGGGGAACACCTTGACAGGCGGTTCATCGTCCCCGTGGGCCACGGAGATACCGGTCCGTCCCCACTTTCACTTGCGTCCTGCATAATGACACATGCCCGGACCGTGTTCCGGTTCAGACGAGGAGGTGTGATTTGAATCTGAGACTTTGCTACACTGAGGCATGTGAGGCCTTGTCATTTGATTTGGTTTGGTGTTGGTGAAGCTGGGACACCAATCGGTGGTGAGTGGATGAATTGCTGGACAAGATTGGCGAGTCTGGGGTAAGACTGGGATGATTGGCTGGGGGTGGAGATGTTAACTTCAAGGGGGCCTTTTGAGCGTGTAAGCCGTGGTTTGGTCACTAGTACGTGGAAAATACCAAAGCCGCGAGCTGAGTGGTATATAATTGCCATCGTTACCATGATCGTACCGAGTTGTAGTTGAATGGGGATTATTAAATCGGAGGGCTCAATTCGAGATATTCTCCATTACGCTCTGAGACTTTTGCCTGACGTTTCGCTGTTGCAATCTGCCGTCTTGATACTCGTGAGCCTCGGTAGACAACGGCATTTCTATCATCATCTCAAAGAATCAAAATAGGTTATATTACTACGTAAAAATGGACGAGTATGCGACGACACGGACTGAAGTCCGTTTACTCTTTTTCTGCTCTTGCCGAAACTCACAGACACACGGAAGAAAAGATTGAAGATTGGATCAGAGACTTGATTGACTACTAGATGTATGCAGTTGCAACTATTTCTCTACTGTCCAGTATTTCCGCGACTTCTGTGTTTGAAGAATCCGATCGCGGTTGCAAGCAAGGCCCACGTATAAAGAACAATCTATAATCGTCTTCCTCCTAGACCGGGACCATAACACTCGGCCTAAGAGCCTCCATGTTCTGAATGCTCTCAGCAGACGCACAAGTCTGGTCTTTGACGACATCTGAGACATTCTTCTTTCCAGACTCCTCCATATTGTTCACTATCTTCAAATCACCTTCAACGTACTGCTTCTGTTCGTGAGCCTGAGGGATAAAAGCAACCGCCCCTGGCGGAAGAGACTCGGCCTCCTGCAGGTAGAAGCTGAGATCAGAAGATCTGTGTGGAATGGTAGTCATGGACGTCGCATACTCCCGCTGCTCAATACCAAGCGGGTCCTTGTCGGGCTGCTCAATCCAGGAGAAGCCCTCGCGCCAGTATGAGTACCTTTCGCCGTCGTAGCGCCACTCGTAGTCTTCCCATCGATCCTCGGCCAAGCATTGCATGTAGTGAAGGGAACTTCCCGGCCAGAGCGCGCTGACTTTTCCTGTGACACCCTTCTTGACTATTGGTACACACCGTCAGCAATCGTAATTGTCTCGAGTTGGGGGTTGAATTGGTCCCTGGAGGTTGTTGTTTACTCACACCAACTGCGACATGTGCCCGTCCAGACCATGTTCTTCATAAATTCCTGAGTATGCTTATCAAAGTCGCTTTGCGCTTCTGGTCTCACGTCAAAGGATTTGACCCGCTGTCTGACGACCTTTGAGAGAATTCTGATAAAGTAGTCTCCTGTCGCTTCGATTGGACCTGAATACATTCTCTTTAGTCGTCGCTCACTGCCATCAATATTCGCTCAAAAGATGACTTACCCATGAGACTTCCGTTTGAAATGGGTGTATTGGGGCCCAGGAAGACCATGTAATTGGGAAACCCAGAAACACCTGTCCCGCAGTACGACGTTGGCTCATCGGCCCACAGATCTTGCAAATTGATACCGTTGCGGCCAAGGATCGGGAAACGTGGTCGGAACGAGGTATTGAAGCCGGTTGCAGCGATCAAAACATCGGCAGGGTACTCAATACCACCGGCGACGATGCCACTGGACGTTATTTTCTCAATGCCGTCAAACACCGGCTCAACATTTGGCTCCTGTAATGTAAGTAGATACCTCTCACCGGGGTTGATCCGCCGGCATCCCGCTTCGAACTTAGGAACGAGCTGATCCTGCAAGGCCTTGTCCTGTATGAGACTCCTCATCCTCGTCTCGAACCGCTGACGCATGCTTCTCTGCTCTGGGTTCGCCTTGAAAAAGGCCTGAAACATTCCGTTGAACTGCGATTCTAGTCCTTTTCTGGTTTCGAGATACTCTCTTTCATCATCTCTAAACGCTTGCTTCTCGTCTGTGCCGTATGTGTGTCCGGGTCGATTGGCCTCCGGTAGGGCAACCGGCGGAGAGATCCATGACGGTGTCCGGATGAAGACGCTGATTTTGCTGGCTTCTGTTTGAATCTCGGGGAGAAGTTGAACGGAACTCGCGCCCGCTCCGATGACACCAACCCGTTGACCCCTCAAGTTTACGGATGAATCCCAGTCGGCTGTGTGAAGCACAGGGCCGGTGAAGTTCTCGAATCCTTCAATATTTGGCATTTGGAAGTTATTGAGAATGCCGCTGGCGTTCACGAGAACCTCGGATACGAGCGTTGATCCATCTGCGGTGTTTACAGACCATGTGCCGGAATCTTCCGACCACTCTGCTTTGGTCACTGTTGTGTTGAACCTGATGAACTTGCGCAGATCAAAATGCCGTGCTACGCCGTCAAGATATGCCTGGATCTCTTGGGATGAAGCATAACTGTTGCAAAAGATTAGGCCTACTGAAAACCACTTGCTTGAAGAGGTGTCGTGCTTACAACCGCGACCAGTCGGGATTTGGCGCAAAGCTGAACTGATAGCAATGACTTGGAACGTCACACGCGCAGCCTATGGGAAGTGAGCAAATTCATCTTGTGCAGGTCAGATCAAGGGGACACCAACCTGGGTACCTGTTTTCATACCAAGTCCCACCAAGCTCTGGCGACTTTTCAAGAATTTGTATCTCGACATAGTCTTTGAGATGCTTTTGAAGTTTGTAGGCTGTTGTTTAGACCAGTCAGCCAGAGGATCGATAGTAGCCAATGAGGGTCATGAAATCTTACCCATCGAGATCCCGGATACTCTGTCACGGTTCCATCAGCCAAGACTATTTCCAGCAACTCACGGACCTGTCTACTCACCCAGCACCTATGATGGTAACACGAAGCCGCTGACCATCTCCTTTGGGTGCGTCATTGTTGAAATGATCAACGTGGCTATCGTTGACACCGTTCGAGGTGCCGTTGGTATGGCCATGTGATGAAGTCTCATTCGTGCTGTGAGGTGCCTTTGCCGGTGAATAGCTGCCATTCAGATGGCTGTTGCCACCATTGGCGATGACGTGTGTGCTGTCGTTGGCAATCGAGTCTAGTTTACAATTCATAGTCATTGTAAGGTCGTGAGCTATTGCCAGGTGTTTTAATGAGGTTTGATCAAGCGTTGCAAGGGGTATGATATTGCATTGGCCAAAAGACGATATGCTCTGGATCAAGATCAAGAAACGCAGAGATAAGTTTGATATGCCAATGATGTAGTATCACAAGTCGAACCTTAACGCAGGTAAGGTATTTTGATAAGTCCAGAGACTGTCATTGCATGATGTGGACAAGCAGGGCCAGAGATGGCTGCGCGTGATCAGAGTGATCGGAAACGGCCCGTGTGATGCGCGGAGTGTAGATAAGAACTGCCTGTACGGGCGTCGTTCCCATTGCAACATCAAACCACCATATCCTCTAAGCAAATCGAATCTGAGACAACAATAACAAATTGATATGCGTAGAGTTTCTCAATGGCCCAAGATAGGGACGCCACGGAGGCGGACAAGGACGTTTATCTCCTGGATCGGGGTAATCCACCCGATTGAATGGATCCGGAGGCCCGGTCCGTCCCCACTTTCTCGGTTCCGTACTCCGGCGTTCGAAGGGATGATCCCCCATAGCATACCTAGAAGCAATGGAGTAGACTCCGGAGAGCGGAGTCGTTATCATGAACAGGGATCCTGTGTATTGTTACAAATAGTGAATATTGCAACATTTTCCGCTGACCACTATAACCGTAGTCTAAAGACAAAGCTTCCTTCGCGATCTGTTAGTCCAATCACCTATCACACTTCAGTGCCAGTTCACCAAAGTCGTTTGGCTGTCACTTATACCAAAACCCTCTCTACGCCGTATTCAAGAATATCCCTTTTGCAAAATGAGCTGGTTCGGCCTCAGCAAACCTTCTACTGCAGCGGAACCCGACGAGCCAAAGGCCGTCCGTGCTCTGCCTGCGATATGGTACCGCTCGCCCGCCATGTACGAGCTGGAGAGGCGAGCCATCTTCTCCAAGCGGTGGATGCTCGTCTCCCATAAGGTACGCTTCGTTGAGGCGGGTGACTTTGTGCAAGTTACTCAGGCGGGCTTCAACTTCTTCCTCGTCAAGGACCGCAAGGGCGAGATCAGGGGCCACCACAACATTTGCCGACATCGTGCTTATCCCTTGGTTGAGAAGGACAGCGGACACATGAGCGTACTTGCTTGCAACTACCACGGTATGTTACTTCATTCAGCAAGGTACTATCTGTCAGAGTGTGTAATGCTAACGCTGATGTATTAGCATGGTCGTATGGTTTCGACGGCAAGCTGGCAAAGGCGCCCAAGTACCAGGAGCTGCCTTCTTTCGATAAGAGCAAGAACAGTCTGTTCAAGGTTCACGTCCATGTAGATCAGCTCGGCTTCATCTGGGTGAATCTGGACGGCGCGGAGAAGCCGTCGGTGCCGTGGGAGGAGTTCTTCGCCGAGGTGGACACACAACCGCGGTTGGAGGGATTTAACTTGGATGACTATCACTTTGATCACACGTGGGACATGTTGGGTGATTACAACTGGAAGACGCTTGCGGATAACTACAATGAGGTACGTTGAATATTTCTCCTCTAAGTTGTGAGAGCGTTTGTGTTCTCTGGATCTTGAGGCTGACTGTGATATCAAATTTAGTGCTATCATTGCCAGACTGGCCACCCTGCTGTGGCCGCTACCACAGACTTGACGAGGTACTGGGTTGAGACGCAGGGAAATTGGATCCAGCACTGGAATGTCGACAAGGAGACTGTTCCAGGTCTGGGGATTCACAGCTGTTACCTCTACCCTAATGCATCCATGACTGTAACGTAAGTATTCCTCACCCTCGACTTACAAGCCCTCGAATCACATAAGAATGCGGGCTAACAAATCCATGTACACAGACCGGATTTCATGTATATCCAACGCTGTGTCCCCGTCTCAGCAACCCAATCCAAGATGGAATACGAAGTCTACCGCCACAACACAGCCACCGATGAAGCCTTCAACTTCATATCAGACTTTTTCAAGCAGGTCCTCCGCGAAGACAAGGACCTCTGCAATGGCGCACAAAAGAACCTGAACGCGGGCGTCTTTATGAACGGGGAGCTGCATCCGCGCGTGGAAAAGGGACCGCTGTTCTTCCAGGAGATTACGCGGAACCTGGTGATGCGGCACAAGGAGCAAGAAGATCAGGAGGGCGGCGAGATTTGGCCGGCGACGCCGAAGCACGATGTCTCTGATAAGACGGGTGAGGATGTGTCGTTTTGTCGGAGCCTTGATTGTGGGGCTGGGCAGGGGCAGATTGAGGGGTTGGCTTGGTGAGTAGTGATAGATGAGCACAGTAGAGGTCAAATTATAGTCTAGCGTTCAGTTTGTTGTTGAGCACTTTACGAGTTTGGTTGAAGCATTGATTGTAGGCTCGCAAGGGTACAAATTGATTAGCGACTTCTCCGGTGTATTGATCAAGTTGATCACTTCAAATTGTGCTGCCTGTGTCCTGATCCCAGATTTAGACCGGCGGTTTCGTTCTTAAACCTTTGGTGATAATGCTTAGGCCAATCGTTAGTAGATGAAACCATTCAGAAATCGCTATAGATGCGATGTTGAGGCCGACGTGGATGTCTTGACTGAAGTTAGGAGTAACCAAGGATCACACTAAGACGGATCACCTGAGGAGCACGGAGGACCTCTGATAGATCATGGATGGAATTAGAATCGTTATTGCTAAACGCCTTTTTGTCATGATAATGTGCTAATTCTCAAGATTCAACCAATCATCAATCGCTCTCCCATAATCATTCGCCTCAATAAACCGATTCGACTGATCCCCAAAAGGTCCCACGCCCTCGAAAAAGATATCCTCAAACGAAGGCCCCATATCCCCGAGCCCCTGCCCGACCAAATGAGACGAAGACGTCGTTGGGGCCTGTTCCGCAATCGACGTCACCGGCGCGATATCATCATTGGGAGCATACACGCCCACGTCATTGGGTACAGCCTTGTGACCAGAGATGCCGGCTGAGCCGACGAGGTCAAATTCGGCTGCGCCCGTCTCGGTGGACAGCTCGCGGGCGTCGGAGCGGAGGGTGGCGCCGAACATGGACTGGTCCCAACCTGCGTCGGGCCGGCATGCGCGGTCGTAGATGAGGAGGTCCCAGAGGAGTTGGGTGTTTATGGAGAAGGAGCGGTTTTGGGAGGTGTTGTCGCCGCGATCGGGGGGCGATTTCATCACGACGCTGTCTTGGAGACGTCGAAGGTTGCTTGCCTTGGTAATGATTAGTCTTTTGCTATGGGGAAGTAGTTGAGGGACGAAGGGACTAGACGTACCATGTTGGCGACGCTTGGCCAGACGGCTCCAGTTTTCCGCAAAAAGTTCATACACTTTTCGAAACCTGATTTTGCTCTGCTCCTGAGTACCTGGTCATGGACGAAACTATGCTGTAGATGGATCGTCGCCACGATAACGACGCAGTGTGCCATGACGGGATCCATGACCGGTAGTGACTTCTTCTCAATGACGTCCAAGAAGAAGATGATCCAGCCAGCAGTCCGGTTCATGCTCTCAAACGACTGCTGGATGAAATGTACGGGTATGGTATGTCGAAAATGCCGCAAGCGCATGGACAGCAGGAATGGGTGGTTCAGGAGACACGGGATAGTCTCGTGGACGAACTGGCTGAAGAGGAATGGAATCCAGTATTGTCGCTGTGCCTGTAGAGACTCGGGGCTCTGCTGGTCAATTCTATTTGTGGCAAAGCGGAATCTCTGTGGCGCGCGGCAGTCAATGTCGTGGTGACTCTGCAGGACCATGGAGTAGTCGGAGCGGGAGTCCCAGGGCGGGGGCGCGTCGGGGCTGACTTTGGAGGAGGCGTAGACGCGGACCATTCTCCAGACGACGCAGAAATCGGAGGCGACGGTGGAAATGTTCTTGTCTGGGTTGTCGTCGAGGCTGTACTCTGGGATCCCGCAGTATGCAGTGAGACCCAGAACGTGGGAGCCGCTGTTGGTGGAGGAAGAGCCCGGAAGGGCACTCATGAGTCGCGGGGCGGGCATTATGCAGCCCTGGAGATGCTGGAGGACGATGATTGTGCGGAGGCAGTAGTTCCTTTCTTGAGCGTTATTGGGGTTGTTTGTTGGTGGGATACTGTGCGCGAGATGGCTTGCGGTGGTAATGCTGAGCCCAGACTGCATAACGTTGCCAGCTTAGAGAGTTGTCAGTTAGGTGATGATGAAGGTATGAATCGTCGCCACAACACGTACTAGCGAAATCAAACATGCTCAAGAGACATAGCGACTGCAACGTCGACAGCTCGACGCGGCCTTCCGTGACCCGCTCCATGACCATGCGGCGGGCCGATCTTGCGAGGTCATCCACCTGCTGTTTAATCTGGCTCGTGAGGGACCCTGGCGGACATCGTAAGACCAGGGCTTGGAGAGATAGGATCAGCTCCGGATCTCGCGAGGCGAGAGAATGCAGAAAGGTCTCCTCAGCGAAGAGGGTGATGGGCTGGGCGTGGAACCATAAAAGGTAGCGACGCCCTGTGTCCATTAATTGCGCCTCGGCAGCACTTGAAGGACTTCTAGATTATCGAGCGTAAGCAGATACTCTCAGACAAGACTGACGATGAATTGAAGGATCGCGGTTGAGATGGGCATACCTAGGACTCCAGGCTGGTGGACCCGAATCTGGTTTCGGGCCTCCTTCTTCAGCAGATACGCTGAGTCTTGGTGAGAGCACATGGCGAGATGCTACGGATGGTTGGGTATGATGTGACACGGGGCTACTTCATGTTAGATGCGTTCAATGCATTTGCCACTACTTGGATAATGTCGACGAACCTCAAATGTTGGATCAAGCGATCCATCTTATCCTCCAGACTGTTGAGTCGAGTCTCCTAACCACGTGGACCCTGATCAGCACTGTCGTATGATCAAGTTAAACCTAGACAGTAGACTCGGAACACGAACCATCTCTCTGTTGTGCTTTGTAAGTTGTGAATCTGGCACTTCGCCGCCAGGCGCATTGTAGACGCATTGCTGTCCTAGTCGCTCACAATATGAGCATGTCGGACGCTCGCCTGGGCACTTTGACTTTTTGCGACTACCGTCGTTGTTAGAACCTTACTGTTGACATTGCAATTGTCATAGTGATGTGCATACCGACATGGCTCACAGGCCTGGCGTGCTCGTTTGGCATATCGAGCATCGTCCATCACCACGAGGGAGACGTCGAGAAGCCCCAGAGTGTAGGGGCTGTCAGTCCTGCGATAAGGTGGGTTCTTGAAGGGGAGGGTTCGGGCTCCGCAGTGAAGGATGATTCAAGGCTCGTCAATGAGATTTACAATTGCTCCAAATTGAAGGAGTCGTCAAGATGTATGAGGCTACTATCGGGAGGAGGCATGTTCCATTAGGGGAATTCCAGTCGCTATGGTAGTTGAACCCAGCCTAGTCTATCCTCTGTCTGTAATCCGGGGTCTTCGGGCTGGACTCGGACTTGAAGATAGCTCGTTAATGCTTGGGCGATAAGTGGTTAAGGATTCAACCCCCCGTCTTATCGGCATGATATGGGCTCGCATGGGTTTGAACCATGAATAAACGGGTGGCAGATGGGAGATGGCAGAGACTGGAATGTCCCCGCACATTTACTTTGCAGGGAAATTGATAAACAGGCGGCCCGGGTGACACATCCCGGTCGTGGGGAAGACCCACTGCAGATAAGACTCCTCTTTGACTTTCTCCTCCTTCTCCAACCCAAGTTCGTGGACCTTGCCGTCGAGATCCGATCACGAGGTCTATTCTAACTGGTCGAAGGTTCATCTTTTCAGTTCCGCATTCTTTCAGGACACTGTCTTAAGTATGCAACCTACTTTGGCCGGGAAAATCCATTCGGTCTTGCTAAACGTGAACATTGCCCTCGACAACGTATTGAAACTACAGACGACCCCCCTCAAAGCTAGGAAGATGAGGTTCACTATAGTCGTTTCTAGAATTCCACACATTGTTGTGTCTCTTTATCATGAGAATCCACAAGACACTCATAGTAAGAGGCCCACTTGAAAATTACCAACCTGGCCGCTCAGATCGAAATGCCTTCCCCAGTAGGGAGACCTGTATCTTGGATCATCGATTTCTGGGGTCTGTTCAATGAATTGATAGTAACTTGGACATAGTTTGAGTAGCCTCCCGCAATTAGCATCGCAAAAAGGTCCCTAGACTTGATACAACACGCATGCATTATACTTGGACACCAAAACGGAGAACCCAAGGCATTCCCCTCCAAGTTGTCATAGTTCATCTGATCTACACGTGCCCTTCACCATTTTCTTCTGCAGCTGTCGCGTGCCAGACGCCAACAATGACATCACATTAATTGAAGACCCTACTTAATTACCGATCAGCGACAGTCCCTACCGTCAAGCTGTCAAAATTTGGCTGTCACCGTCACCTCCCGTCGGCCCCTCGCGTCCGGCAGATGCGGCCCTCCGGCAGACGGAGGGTACGCCAGGGGGTGCCCCGCCATCTCAGTAAGCCATTAGCCAATCACGGCACACCAAAAGGGGCAGACGCACGGCGGAGGCGGTCACCCCGCAGTCCCGAGATCGGCGCCCCTCCAAAAGTTTGAACTCTGCCCAAGCAAATCACGAAATTGTGACTCTTGACCCAATTTCCCCCTCCACGATCAATCTTCCATTGTACGGACATTGAAACTCGCTTTACGGAGGCCATTACGTGAGACGCCAAGAGGATCCATTTTCAGTCAGGAAGTGGGCTTTTTTATCTTCGTCAGCATCGAACCATATCGAATTGCAACCTCAATTGACTTAAGAGTCACTCCCCGCCATCCACCCCTCCGTGACTCCCGAACACCAGCAGACTCAACCTACGATCAACGAACACACGATCACCGATCCAATAACAGACGATACTCACAATGGCTGCCTTCCCGCCCCCTCCGGTCAACACCATTGACTGGTCCAACGTCGGATTCAAGATCCGCGAAGGTGAGGGCTTCCTTCCACCGCTGCCCCTCCTTCGACCCCTCCCCTACCCTTCCTCGTTCCCATAGAGGTCCAAACTAACGTCTTCAACTACAGTCAACGGCCACATCGAGTCTACCTACTCCGTCACGACCGGCCAATGGACCCCCCTCAAGTTCGTCGCCGATCCCTTTATGCGCATCCACGGCATGGCACCCGCCCTCAACTACGGCCAACAAGCCTACGAAGGCCTCAAGGCCTTCCGCGCCCCGGGTGACAAGCAAATCAACATCTTCCGCGCCGACAAGAACGCAAAACGCCTCCAGCACTCCGCCGACGTCGCCTCCATGCCCCGCGTCCCCGAAGATCTCTTCATCGCCGCCGTCAAAGCCGCCGTCTCCCTCAACGCAGGCTACGTCCCGCCCCACGAGACCGGCGCCGCCATGTACATCCGCCCCCAGCTCTACGGCTCCTCCGCCCAGCTGGGCCTCAGCCCGCCCGAGGAATACGTCTTCGCTGTCTTTGTGATCCCCACGGGCGTCTACCACGGCAGCCACCCTGTTAAGGCGCTGATTCTCGACGACTTTGACCGCGCGGCACCGAATGGTACCGGACACGCCAAGGTTGGCGGAAACTACGCGCCTGTGCTGCGCTTCAGCGACCGCGCGAGGAGCGAGGGATACGGGATCACGCTGCATCTCGACAGCGTCAAGCACGAGGAGATTGACGAGTTCAGCACGAGTGGTTTCATTGGTGCCAAGAAGGAGGGCGACAAGATTACCCTAGTCGTACCGGATTCCAAGTGCGTTATTGACAGTGTGACGAGCGCCAGTATTCAGGATATCGGCCGTAGCTTCGGCTGGGCGGTTGAGAAGCGTGTGGTGAGTCTCGAGCATCTCCCCCCTATTTCGGGACAAATCAAGGAACTATGCTAATCAAGAATGCACAACAGATCAAGTACAGCGAACTCCCCACCTTCACCGAGGTCATGGCAGCCGGCACGGCAGCGGCCCTGGTGCCAATCCGCTCCATCACGCGGCGTGTCGATGCTTCCTCCCCTCAGTCTCTTGCCGCCGCCGGCTCGAAGGAGCGCGTTAGCAGCGCCAAGGCGGGCGAGGAGACGGTGACGTTCATCCCCGAGACCCAAGAGGAGGCTGGCGATATCTGCCTGAAGCTGCTGTCGACGCTGCAGGCTATTCAGCTCGGCAAGCTCAAGGACGAGTTTGGCTGGAACTTTGTCGTCAGCGAGGCGGACGGCACGGCGGTTGTGGGGGAGGCCAAGACGAATGGGTCTGCGCAGACTGTTGATCAGATGGATTAAGGTGTTCTTCGCGCAAGAGAAGGATAGATACTTTGATATCTTGATCATGTCTGGAAGACCGCATGGTCGTCGGCTGGACTTGTCGATGGTGGCATAGTCTCTGTGGCGTACACATGTTTCGGGAAGGGCTTGATTGGAGTGGAGTAAATCAGTTAAAAGCACAAAAAGCGACAAAATGAAATAGAGCATTGATTGGATCCAGGTGTACAGACTACCGGACCACGCGTAGGAATGATGCGCATCATGTCACGCTTGTTTGGCTTGGGCGGTGTACCATGGTGTCGGCGCGATGCAGGGCCGGCTACTTGGAGCTCGACGGGCTACTCTATTAGTGAGTTCCGAAGAAAGATTGAGTTTTGGGTTGACAGATGCGACAGGCTCTGGTTCAAGCAAGCAAGCAAGATGTCGCGAGTCCCACGTAGCATCGGATCCTGCCCTAGCTAGGTCACGACTCACAGAGAGAAGAGGGATCAACAACAGTACGGAGTAGCATCTCTCGGTTTATGGTTTAATGGCATCACGGGTGTCACAGACCAATGTTCACCCTGGCTTGATTCCAACAGTCTGGGACGGTCAGATATGCGATGCAATCTTACCAGCATCACCAGAGTCCGTGCCAGGCGCGACACGCGAGCGTAAATTGACATGGATCTGTCAGTTGTCACCGACATGATCTTCTGTTGGCCAGTCTGTGAATGGGATGAGAAAGAAAAGAAACCTGGAAAAGTGATGGGCACGGCAGCCGTATCGAGTATCCCGCGTGGCTATGCAAATAACTACTGTACACAGTAGACATAGCACATATGTAAGCAGACAGGAGAGTGGGAGAGAGAGAGACGAAAAAGTCTTGGCAAACAAAAGTGAGCAATGTCTTGGCGGTCCAATGGGACCATGTTTGCCGAAAAATCACTCACGCCAAAAAGTTTGACGGGAGACGCAAAAAGATGAGGCTTTTTTTTCTGTTAGATGAGATTGTCATGACCAAAGTCGCCTTTTCTTAGGGCGGATAGCCGACCTCGTCGAAATTGTTAAGGAAATGGATGCGGCGCGCTTGGCGGGCGCTAGCAGAAGCTTAGCAGCTCTAAACAAACCAAACACGGCCGGGTGGGTCCAGATACCCGTTCGCGCCTCCGAACTTATGGTCCACTTTATTCTCGAGAGGGATCCACTTGTTTTGCATGTCCCCGCAGAAACCCTCCGGGGATGGCAGGGGTAGCTACGGGCGTGTCGCTTGCATCCTGCACCTCCCACCTCCCCCCTTCTTTGTCTGTACCTATTTGATTCTTACTAGGTAAGTATGGAGTATGGATACATACTACGGAGTACTGGGTAAGAACTTAGCACCTTAGCCCGGGCTGCCTCCCGATGCCCATCTTCCCTCCATTCTGTTTTGCCCCGGTTCTCTCTTCTCTCTTCCTCCAAAGCTAAGAGTCCAACCTCCCGAGGTCTGTCATTCTGCCCATCACCGCCTAGTCATGCCCTACAGTCTACACAGCCCGGGCCATCTACCTAGGTACGGCAAAGACCGGCATCCGGCGCAAAGTTACCAGAGTTGGACTGTGGACATGGTGAGGCATTATTGTTGCTGCTTCAAAGTTGAATAGCAGAGCCCGGCCATAATCTGACAGATCCCATCCTCCTTTGGGTATTCACTTCCCTGGATGCCCCCCATCCATCCACGGACCACATCGTCAACATCAATTTCCCCTACGCCCGCAACTTGGCTCCTTTTGGGCACCGCCTAGGCAAGTTGGCTCCAAGTGTTCGGAGGAGAAAAAGTAATGGGCCAAGGATTCATCCCACCTTTGGTGACTGGTCTCACAGACTCACTGTAGTCGGGGCTTGGCAGCATATTGGATCACTGGCACGTGCAGCGACATCAGGTCAGACTGGCAGAGAAAACCAACAACTCAGACAGGCCTAGCATCGCGAGAGGGTGTAGAAGTCGAGAGCTGAGAACGCGCTAGAGACGTTTAGCAAGAGACAACATGGCCAGCGGCAGCCCACCGCCAACAAGCTTCGCGCAAGAGAGGAACTGAGACGCCGTCATCATTCTTGCGAGTGTGGCCCGTTTTCTGCCATAGAAAGCCAAAAAAAGTTGCGAGCCTCATCGTTCGGCTGCCCAAGCCGCCGAAGCTGTCTCAATGGCAGTGTACAAATGGACACCACCAAGTCGACTACGGTTACGGGCCCCGCGAACACCGCATTTTTAGTCTCAAAAGAGTCAAAGACTTTGCTGTGTAGGTGCTGCGTGCCCTCCCACCATCTCTTGACTGGAGGAGAGCCGCCTTTACCCCTACCTTTACGCAAGCTACCCCTGCCAACCGTCCCCTCCACCAAGTGTACTCCATACCTACTCGTATGCAGTCTCGCAGAGAAAACGTTCATCATCACCACTTTATGGATACAGCCTACTCCGTACAGCATGTCGGCACACATTCGGCAACGGGCGCTCGTTCCCTCACCTGCATCGTCCAGCCTTTCTCCCACCCGGCACACCTTGCCGCACTTTGCCTGAAGTACATACACTACACGAGCCCATCCAACCCCCAGAGCCGAAGGAAGAGAGGAACTAGTCATAGCCGCTCCGCTTCCGAAGGCCAACCACCATTATCGAGAAAGCTTGTGACAGTCTTGTTTCTGTCATCAAACTTCTTCTCATAAGCGCCCGAAGAGGGGAGGGGCATCCCCGTCTGTTCACAGATAAGCCCGTGCATATGTGCAGATGGGAAACCTGCACGCCACATGCCACATGGGATCTCACAAGTAGGCCCCGAGGTGGGTAACGTCAAGAAGGGTGGGAAGGGGTACAAGTGGGCTGGAAATCTGCAATGCCACCCCCGGGGATGGCCGTCGTAGTCGACCGCCCAGTCGTTCCTCGATGCTAATATGGGCCCGGTGGCTTCTGCTCTCCGGGGCTAATTGACAAAAAGTAGAGGCCGCGTCGGTACTAGGGCCCCTTCATCATGGATGCATCGAAATTCCCGTTACACTAGCCGGGCTAGCCTTGACCGCCATGCTGGCCTGGTTCTCTGTAACTCTCTTCGAGGGTCCCCGAGATGGGCAAGATGAACCAAGATCCCTCATGGCACCCCCACTCTCTCCCCTTCCTTCATCCAACTTTGCCTTCTTTGTCTTTTGTCTTTCGACTTTTGAGACAAAGATTTCAATCCTGAGATTAGGGTAGGGCAACCCAAAAACATCGAGACCCTGTCATTCCAAATTCCTGGGACTTAAAGAAGTCGCATCCCGCCCTCCAAATCTTCAACCAGAAGATCTTACCGTGTATTGGTTCTTGTGACGTCCCCCCTTTACCATTTTGCTAGATATTCTCTGCCCTTAGGATCCTGCTATTTTGTTAGGTCCCATCTCCCACACGCTGTGCTTTACGCCGGCGCTCTCTCTTTACCTCTCCTTTTCCTCAATCTCAACTTTCCCATCCCCCAAATAGCATTCCAGCCTGGCATGGACGCCCAAGGCACCCCAACAACCCCGAGTGCTCCCAGAATCACAATCGAAGACAAGCTCGAGAAGCACAAGTCCGGTTCGACCGTCGACGAGTGGTCTACGTTTCCGCGCCCCGGTCCTGATGGAGCCTCTAGCTCTGGCATCGCAGGCGGTATCTACTCGAGCCGCGACCTGAACCGCGTCGCTTCGAACCGCCTCTCGCGCGCTATTACAAGGGAATCAAATGCCGAGGCTGATGATGGTGGTGATGATTGGCGTCGCGATGATGGGAGGAAGAAGCAGGTTTTCACTGGCACGACTTTGATGTGGTATGTTGTCTGGCTGTGACGCGCTCTATCTGTCAGGCTTGAGGGAATCATGTGCTGACGGGGTTTGAAAGGCTTGCATATCAGTCTATCGGTGTCATCTACGGCGATATTGGAACCAGGTAAGTATTTGATCAAGAAACGTGTACGGTAGTTTCTTGTTTGACTGACCACGGCTTAGTCCTCTCTACGTCTACTCGTCCACCTTCACTGATCTTCCCACCAAGAACGACCTCATCCAGGTTCTCTCTCTCATCATCTGGTCCCTCACCCTCATGGTCACGGTCAAATATGTCTTCATCGTCTTGCACGCCGACAACGAGGGCGAGGGTGGTACCTTTTCGTGCTACTCCCTCTTGACCCGATTTGTAAGTCGAATGAACCGCAAACACTGACACTACCGCTTTCTACACGTACGTGTTCTAACACTACAAAGGCCAACATCACAAACTTTGATCCCCGCGAAGAAGCAACAGTACGCATCGAACGCCACAACACTCAAGACGTCCGCCCCGTCACGCGCGGCATTCGTACCGCTATTGAAAAGTCCAAATTCACACGAGGCTTCCTCAAGACCATCGGCGTCCTCGCCGTCTCCATGGTCATCGCCGACGGCATCCTCACACCCGCGCAGTCAGTCCTGGGCGCTATCCAGGGTCTCTCCGTCGTCAAGCCCGATATCAGCACCTCCACCATCGTCGGCACCACCTGCGGCATCCTCGTCCTGCTCTTCCTGATCCAACCCCTCGGCACCACCAAGCTCGCCACCACCTTTGCGCCCATCGTCATCATCTGGCTGGGCTTCAATGGCGCCTTTGGCATCTACAACCTCGTAAAGTACGACTACACCGTCCTCAAGGCTTTCAGCCCCTACTACGCGATCCACTTCTTTATGGAAAAGAAGACGGAAGGATGGAGGATGCTCGGCGGTGTTCTTCTCTGCTTCACCGGTGTCGAGGCCCTCTTCGCCGACCTGGGTGCCTTCAGCATGCGCGCCGTGCAGATGAGCTGGCTGCTCTGGACATACCCCTGCCTGATCCTCGCCTACAGCGGACAGGCCGCCCATCTCGCCCTCATGCCGGAGAAGTACACCAACCCCTTCTTCAACACCGTACCGCCCGGCATGCTCTACCCAAGCTTGATCCTCGCCGTCCTCGCCGCCATCGTCGCCTCGCAGGCCATCATCACGGCAACCTTCCAGCTCTCCAGCCAGATCATGAAGCTCTCCTACTGCCCGCAGATGAAGGTCGTCCACACCTCCTCCACCTTCCACGGCCAGGTCTACGTGCCCCTCCTCAACTGGCTTCTCATGCTCGGCACCATCCTCGTTACTGCAGTCTACAACAACACAACCAGCTTGGGTCACGCTTACGGCGTCTGTGTTATCTTTGTCACCTTCTTCGACACCCTCATGGTCACCCTCGTCGCCATCCTCGTCTGGCGTCTGCCCGTCTGGCTCATTGCCCTCCCGGCCCTAATGTTCGCCACCCTCGACGGCCTCTATCTCTCCTCGGCGCTCAACAAGGTCCCTGACGGCGCCTGGTTCACGCTGCTCATCTCCGCCCTCATGGCCGGCATGTTCCTCCTCTGGCGCTTCGGCAAGGAGAACCAGTGGCGCGCCGAGGCCGAGGATCGATTCCAGCCCAGCACGCTCGTCACTCAGAACAAGGAGGGCATGCTGGCTCTCACCCAGCGCTGGGGCGGCGATGTACTCTCCCCCGTCAGCGGCTTCGGTATCTTCTTTGACAAGACGGGCGTGCAGACGCCCAGTGTTTTCACGCACTTTGCCTCCAAGCTCGGCGCCCTCCCCGACGTGGCGGTGTTTTTCCATCTTCACCCCGTCGAGGTTCCCACCGTTCCTGATTCAGAGCGCTACCACATCTCGCGGTTCGCAAATCTGGCGGGCTGTTACCGTCTCGTCGTGCGCCACGGCTTCATGGATGAAGTTGTCAGTCCTGATCTCGGCGCGTTGATTTACGAGCAGGTGCGCAAGTTTGTCGTGCGCCAGGCGGCGAGCAAGGCTGCCACCGCATGTGGCGAGACGACAACGGACGCCTCGTGGGAGGACACTGAGGGTCCCGTGGAGCTGCGGGACGAAAAGGTCGCGGCGGAGCTGGCGAAGCTGGATCGTGCCTACTCTCAGAAGGTGTTGTATATCGTCGGTAAGGGGCAGATGCACATCCGGACGGGAACGAGTATTCTCCGGCGCTTCACCTTGGGCACGTTCTTGTGGATTCGGGATAATACCAGGGCCAAGATCGCGAACCTGAGGTTGGCGATGGACAGGGTTGTCGAGGTTGGGTTCGTCAAGGAGATTTAAGAGTTATACATACGCATAAGTACATAATGATGTTATGTAGAGGGGTTTTGGGTGTTTGGGACTAGATGGCGGTGCTGTGCTGGAATATGTTGGTTTCGTAGTCTAATTCCAACCGAAACTTTCCCCCAAACAGCACTTCCGCAACTTTTGTCGTTCTCGTGCTCTATTGTTGCCTCAGCAATCATCTTGTACCTATGTTGGCAGGAAATGAGTAGTCCTGCTCGTGCCAAGGTGTTCTAATGTAGGAACCTATTTTGCGGACATAGTCTTCTTACGCGCAACAGCTGCAGTTCAAATCCCCAGAAGTAGAGAAGGTGTCAGAAGAAGATCTGATCTCGTATTCGAAGACGAGACGCAATCGAGTCGATGAATTTTGGTGGGATACATATATTCTATACGAAGGAAGACGCCTATCTGTTCATGGTAACACGACGAGCACGCTGCGTATATGCAGCCTGCCTCGCTCAATTTCAGAAATGAATTACCAGAGATTCCTTTGGGGGGGGGGGGGGGCATGATACATTTTACTAATGCTATGTGATTACAATGGGCCTTGTGCCCCAGTATTGAGGAATAAGGTAGAAGGGCTTTTAAAGAATATGCCAGCACATCGAACATCGTCGTCCAAGCTGCCATCGAAATATGATGGTTTTATCTATAGGGGCGCTCAGGTGATCCCCACTTTGCCTCCGAAATTTCTACAGTGCATTGATTATCAAGCTCAAAACTTGGATGAAAGCGTGGTTTGGAGGAAGGCGATAACCCAGGCCCTGCAGCTTGTTCGTGTCTATAGTTCTTCCAAGCAGTGCAGATGTTGTCGGCTCTGTACCATAAAAGCCAGCTCGACTTCTAGATATCTAGACTAGGCGTGTTATAATGATACCTTATTTACCTTGTGCTGCACTTGATGCCAAACGACACGAGCAAGATCACACTAGGGGGGTCCGTCGAATGCAATATCTGTTTCTCTCATCCTCTTAAGGAAATACCTCTACGCAATTCAATCTGTTGATTAATTCTGTAAGGATTACTAGTGTAAAGCTACGAAAAACAAAAGAAAGGGGTTAAATAAGAGTGTCTCGGGGCAAATCAAACAGTCTTATGCTCTTCAATCTTCCTGAGCACCGGTTTCTCCACCTCATCAAGGAACCCGCGGTTGTTCAGAACCCTCCAGTATGCCTTCCTCATCACCTCGGCATTGTAGGTCTTGTCCTCCCACACCAAGACCTTGTGGGCAATATTATCTCTCTCAACCCGCATGTCCTTCAGCGCTTTGTCATACGTGCCAACATCTAAGGCGTTTTGGTCGACTTCATTTTGAAGGGCAGCATTCTTCTTTCGCAGGGGTTCCAAATCTTCAGTTAGCTGCTTGTTGGCCTTCTTGAGCTTGTCAACCTCGTCCGTGAGAGTCTTGTTGAGGTTCTTCTGGACGAGAAGCTGAGCCAGAGCGGAATCTCTTTCGGCCTTCAGCTTCGCCACCTCCTCTGTGAGGGCTGTGACGCGAGCCTTTGCGCCTGAAAGGGCGGGCAGAGCCTGTTCCAGCTCTCTCTTCAGCTTCAGCCTGGCATCCCTCAAGCTTTCGAGTTCCTGGTGGTCCTCAATATCGTGCTTGTGGCCTTCATTAATGTCCTTCTGAAGCTTGGTCACCTTGGCCTCCAGCTGCTTGACATCGTCGTGGGCCCTTGCCAGAAGGTCTTCAAGGGCAGCGATCTTTGCCTTCTGCACCTTGTCGTCGCTGTTCAAAATGTCTCTTCCCTTGATGAGCTCCCGGATCTGGGCCTCGGCAGCAGCGAGCTGGCTGTCACGGGCGTGGAGATCGGTATCGAGAGCCTTGAAACGCTGCTGAATGTTAGCATGCAATGCATGAGAAAATGACTAGACCAATGAATGCATACATCCTCGGCGTACTTGGCAAGGTAGCCAGCTTGGTCGATGAAAGCCTGAGCGTGAGTCAAGGTGTTGACTAGTCCGCGCGGGAAAGGCAACGGTGCCAGGATGCGAGGCAGAGACGGCTGAGTCTGAGGAAGTCGGAGCTCTACCTCGGACTTGTCGGGGCTGGACTCAGGGGGATTGAAGTCGCTTTTTGAACAATCAGCTATATTCACATCAAGGGGAAGAGTAAACTAACTGAGAGTGGCGATCCAGATGAACAGCAAGAGCGAAATCGCCAATCTCTTGGCTAACATTGCTCTCGATTCCACTTCCCTTCATGTGGACAGCAAGTCTCTCGGTGCTCTGCTGCCAGGTGCAAGTCACATGATAGAAGGAGTTGTACTCGAACTTCACAGTCTTCTCGGGGCTAGAGAGGATAGACTGCTTGGCGACGTGGACGTTGGGGTTCTTTGGCTTTCCTTCACCATTCTTGGTCCACTGCCAGACAGCCAAAACGGGCTTATCCTTGCCGAAGCCCTCAGGGACAATGAAGGTGGCCATCTCGTTGGTAGCATAGCTGGGCCAGTTGATCTTGCCAGTCCAGATGCGAAGCGAGCCGGAGGGGGTCTGGGACTCAGACTTCCAGATACGGTTGAAAGTCATGGTGCTCTTTTCCTTGTTGGGGTTCGACATGGTGACCTTGAGCTCGCCATAGACCTTCTGGGTGGTGATCTCCCAGGAGTAGTAGTGCGAGTTCTTGAGCGTGAAGACATCGTCGCCGCTGACCGTCTTGGAGACCTTGTCGACGACGAGGTTGAGGAACCAGTTGGCCTTTTGGGCACCGCGGGCGTCCTTAGTCCACTGCGAGAAGAGGTAGGCCGGGTCGCCGGCGCGAGCGGGACCGTTGGGTAGGGTGATGACAAAGGTCTCGTCCAGGCCATATGGCTTCCAGTCGAGCTTTCCGAGATAGACGTACATGGCGGTGGATTTCAGCAGCGGAGCAGGAGTAGAAGTCGAAGAGGAAGAGGACTTGTTGTTATCCTTTGGAGGATTTGTGGGTTGAGGCAGTGGGGATGGTGGAGAGGGAGGTAGATATCTTCTGAATGGGATGAGAGGCAGTGCGAGGATTCGAAGGATGAGACTGAACATCTTATAGTTTGTGATGTGAAAGGAAAAAGCCTTGAAGGTTGTTCTTCTTCCTGCAATTTATGCGAGTTTCCAAAGCATAGAACACAGCGTGAGATGGCCTTTCGCCGTCAGCTTCTCTCTTCTCGGAGTTTCTTGTCACGATTGCTACTATGCACGCTTTCGTTCTATGGCTGCTGCAGCTGAACGAGGTCCCAGTGGCTACCTGAAAGCTGAAGCGGGCGAGACAGAGCTGATGAAGAGTCAATTCCTGATGTTCTGTTGGGCAGAGACCGAGATGTTGCAATCAGGGACCTTGCCATCTCCATGGGCATTGAGAGAAGCGCATTCGAATCTCGGATAGAGTATCCCGCTTCTGGGTGTTTGTTTAAGGCTTGCCTAGCGCCGGCTGATAGCTGTGCCCTGCAAACGTTGGGAATGGGCAAGCTTCTTGAGAATGAGACATTCGGGAGCTCGAAGGCGCACTGCGATTGGCCGAATACCGCAGATCTCTAGAGCTTCATGAGAAGCTCTCCTCATCTTCCTTGACAGTCTGTTTGGTGCTGCACTTGCGATCTGGATAGACACGACTGTTTCGAAACTTAGGTCAGTAAGAAGAAGATCCTACTGAAACGAAGGGCCCAGGCATATCTCATAGCATGTACGACAACCGAAACTTTAGAAGGGCTTCGATGAAGATTTGAGAACAAATCGTTATGTGCTGTCTTGGTGATCTCTTGACGGTAGGCATGTGTCGACGATAGCTACAGCCCGCCCATTCCCGCCCGTTATTGATCAATGCCGCTTTCGGACCATATTCCAAGACACAACAGAAGCGAGAGTTCCTGGAACTTTCAGCTTGGCGTCCAGATCAAGTGCGGGGGGACCCGCCAAGAACTTCACCGACTGACATACGCAAGCCACAGAACGAAAGGTAGAAGCACCTCATTCGAGTCTCTCGGTGAAGCTGAAGCCATGGGTGTTCTGGACCCCTCGTGCAGGCAACAACATGGTGATTGATCATGTACCGGTAAGGGACGGCACGCGGCGGCTGGAGTCACTAGTACAATAGGGCATTTCTAAACACTGCAGTTTGGATGCTTGGCCGAGACCTGTGTCTCGGCTGGGCAGTGACCCTGGATGAATGCGACGAGACAGACCCTGGATCTTAAACCTTCGCCCCCAAGGGACTGTTTAGGGGAGATCGATCTCAATGCGGTGGCAGTCTAGTTGAGGAGATGGCAAGGCGAGTATGGAAATATTGGGATCGAAAATTCCTCCTTTTATTCATCTTCTCCTATCGGTCACAAACAATATCTCCTGAGCTCATCATATACCCAATGAATATCGAAAGGCCGTAGAGATTTTGATCGATCGCCTACATTTCTCGTCATGCCTGAGAGGTCTTCAATGATGATCAGCAAACATCTACTGTCGGTGATGATGTTATGTTTTGTTCTGCACCTAAGCTGATAGAACTCTCCGTCAGTTCCACTCCGAACACCCATCACTCGTCACTGGTAGCAACATTTGCTCCAGAGCTTGTGCACATTCAAGTTATCGATGTTGCCTCCTCTAACAACAACATCATCGGCGAGAGCAGTAAAGCATCCAAGCAGATAAGGAGCCAACATTGCTCAGACTCATCGTCGGTCGACCTTTACAATTTCATGCCTCGGAGTTCCATCGCATGTGCCGACACCTGCTGCCGTGACGCCGTCGATATGATGTAGGGTCGATCTCAAAAATTATTGCCGAGCCTGTCGATCATGCCATGTGTGGCGTTGACCGAGATAGTATGTCGCGCCCTTGGATGGTCGAGGCTGTTAGAATGAGCGTTCATGATCCACACAAGTAGGTCATGCACACTCGTGACTCGACGTCATCGGGTCGCGTTGTTAAGCGGTGCTCTTAACATCACCATTGCTGATGATGGGGTATTCGGCAATCTCGGCCGAGCGCTCTTCGGGGCCTCGGAGGTCGCCCAGTGAGCAGCACGACGGTGCGAGACGTTGCCGAGAGAGATCGACTAAAGTGCCAGGTCCCAGTTTATAGGAACAACTGCAGCAGTCGAGTCCCTATTGCGTGATCTGAAACATAGTAGCATGACCGGTGGCCAAGCTACGCTGTGGTCAGATTCAGCATCTACAGGAAGTCACAATGTCAGTAATAATTATATCAAAATCAGGTGAGGTATTCTTACAGTTCCCAGATGCCATCGACTTTAGTGGCGCTTGGGAGAATGTCCACCAGCTCATCATCCGACTCGGACGGCGATTCTGGAGTGCATCCGTAAAGGTTCACTTTGATAGCAACATCGCGGACAGAGACGACCCGAGTAGAAGGGTCCAAGCCTTGAAATTCAACCACGCGAAGAGAGTGGAACATGTCGCTCGGAATCTCCTTGTGGACTGATGGGCTGTTCAGCGACACGACTTGAAGGTGTGATTGAGATACTCACAAACTGGCTCCTTCAAGAGGTCAGCCTCAAGTGAGATGGTAGTGTCGTCCTTGAGTTTGGGCGCGCTCCATTCTCTTTCAAGCTTGGAAAGAAGCTGAGGCACGTTAGGCGACGGACAATGAGATCAATGAGATTCATATCAGAAAACAGAGCATACCAGTTGACATCCCTTGTCTGTGTGCGCAAGCTGTTCTCATTGTAAGCAACTGTTCGATAAAAGCTGGGGGGAAAAAGCTCGTGAAAATGAGCATTGCGGGGCAGAACGTACACCTTTGCCATCCTTGAAACGGGCCTCAACGTACGCGATGCCCTTCTTGGGCTTGGAGATGAAGATGTAGTCGTCGGTCCGACCAAAGGTCAATTGCGTCTCGCTCATCTTGAGTGTATCGAGCATGTCCCTGATTCCCAATGGCTTTCGGAGATCGTTGTCGATGTCGGCGGGCAGTCTGTGGAGGGGAGAGGGGCATGGAGGGGTTCGTGAAATGGGGCAGAAAAGATTGGAAATTGCCGAAATTTTCGTGGTCGATTGGCGAATCCGGGAGGAGTGGAACGACCGGGGAAGTGGTTTCCCTCTTTTTTGTTTCTCCTTCCTTCCTTTTTTTCTCGATGTACTTTGTACTGGTTGTGGGCCGACAAAAGCCGTGGAGGCAGGTGCATCCAATGCAGGTCGGTTTGAAGGAAGGTGCAGTCCAATTGGATGGGAAGGCAAGGGCTGATCCCAATTCCACAGCGTCGGGAAGGAGCGACTCGGGAGGGTTTGTGGTGCAGCGGTTCAGCGGTGGGCTGGAAGTCTGGAGTCTGGAGTCTGGACGGGAATGGACGGGACTGGACTGGGGAAAAAGGAGGGCGGGAATTGGCTAAATGGAGGGGAAGGGGCGGGAAGAGGAGCGCTAATAACCACGGCGGCAGGGACCGGTCATCTTAAGGAACCTTGGGAACGTCTCCAAATGTCGCCGGACGCAGTTTGTCACCTAATTAACGGCTACCTCACCTCAGTTTACGGCTAGGTACAGACCCAAATACAGGGAACCTCAAGTCTGAGACTTCGACATGAGAGAAAAGTGACACTAGGAGAACCAATCCAGACCCGTCGATAACAAAGGCAATGACCACGGCTCCCCTTGCCTCGATGAAGTTTGCTGAAGTTTCGGTTATCAAAAAGAACGGCGGCCGGCCAGAGCCAGAACAAGCAAATAATGAGATGGTTCTTCGACCGTCTTTGCATCAGAGCCACCCGCGCTGGACTCGCCTCCGGCCGGGCCGCATCTTGGCACTCGAGTGGCCCTGCAGAGGGTTTCGCCCGAGTCTCAACTGTAGCAAGACGTTTTATTCTCTGTGCTGCTTGCCCTCTTCTCTTCTCATGCTGCTACTTTCAACTTCAACACCCTTTCTACGGAGTATCATCCACAACATTCGTACATGCGCCAAATCCAGACCTGTTCTCTGCAGAAGCCCTATCTGGCCATGAGCAGATGGGCGCATCAGTTGTCATCGTCTGCGTCCATGGGCGTCATGCCTCTCTGAACTCTGTACTGCAAACGGGTTTACTCAGGACGCCCTGTAGACGCCAAGTCTCTGCAGCCACTGGCGCCCGATGATCTTGTTCTTTGTCGCCCACTGTAGATGACCAGACTGTCACTCAAAGAGTACAAGAAGAGGTGCAGCACTGCGATGCACCGCCTTCCCAGCAATCGCTGTGGATGCACGATGCACGATGTACGATGCACGAAGCTGGAGCATGGTTCCAAAGTCTGAGATGGGCACACTGCAAACATTACGTGTCAGTGCGCGGCTTGCCCAGATGGCACTTTCACCAGGCACGCATTGAAACCTCTGGAATTTTGAGGCGGAATTTTCCACCCATCTCAACTTTTGGTCGTCCGAGCACTTGGTAATTGCTGCCAAATACTCTGCCAGCGGAACAGAGGGCCACAGCATGAGATATTCCGCAGCCGCCTGCCCCTCCAAACGGCTTCTTCGTTGAGGCTGTGCTGTCTCACGGTGAAGCTTTTCGGCGCGCTCGTTCGACGTGCAGCTCGCCTGCAGCACCGGGCATCAGACGCAGCTAGACAGAGCGCCGCGTGGCTGTGTTAGTCTTGCAGCTTCACTTCATGAGCGCTGATTTCTTGCCCTGCAAGAATGGAGGTAAGTATTTCCCTCGGACCAGCGATGGTGAACAGAGTGGAACGGCCGAAATGAGCCGGGAGAACGCCGGCCTACCTAGGTCCCACACCACGGCAGTGGGGCCGATGATCGCCAAAATTTCGGAGGAAGCAGCCGAGCAGCCGTCCGTCTTGGCTGTCGACGATTGTCTTGCAGACACACAGCAAAGGGGTGTGTATCTTGAAGCACTGCGTATCAAAGTTAAGGTGGCTTGCCCTGCCGAAAAAGTAAGCTGTGCCGTAGGGCCTCACATTCGGCATCTGCAATGTGCCTTGCTGACCCAGCTGTAAGCTTGCGTACCCCCTTCCTCATTGAACAATTGGAGCCATGGTCGAATAGCAAAAGGGAAGCATTATATGCCTACCGGAACACTCCGTACCCTTGATGAATCTGTTTTGCATTTTGATGCAGAAGAATGCAGGCACAGGATGCCTTCGATCCATCGTGTGGCTGGAGCGCTGGTTCATCACAGCCACCCAATTAAAACTGTGGCGTTGCTTATCTAACACCGCCAGAACCACAATCACCCGACGCATCATCACGTCACAGGTTCGGATGAAAGTGGAGACCTCCCTCGTGCCTGGAGCTCCCAGCTCCCGTTTCAACCCACTGCGATTTGAGTATCTCCAACACATTACCAATCTCTGCTCAACGACTCGCGACTCGACAGCTCTATCAGTCGCATCCGAATCGGGGTGATATGCTTCAAGCAACATGGACTCCCTAATGTTTGAAGATAAACCGCCGCAATGCGACGGCAAAGAGGCCATCAAACCGAGCGATCGTGACGTTTGGGTCCAGCTCGGTTTGTCCCTAGTCCTTGGCCTCACAGCATTCACCACCTTCTGCTTCTTGCGCCCACGATGGCCGACCCTGTACGCCGCGCGCAAGCGCAGACTGGACCCCAAAATCGGTTTGCCCCCGCTGCCAGATACCTTTCTTGGATGGATTCCGGGACTTTATCGCGTCACTGAGGAGCAAGTCCTCGCCTCCGCTGGTCTCGATGCCTTTGTCGTAAGTGCGAAGCTATCACTCGTGACTGGACATACTAATCCAACGGGAACAGTTTCTTACCTTCTTCAAAATGGCTATACGTATCCTGGCTATACTGGCCTTCTTCGCATATACCGTTATGCTACCCATCAATGGTGCGCTCGCACCTGAAAACATCTTCCCTACACCGTCGAAACCAAAATCCAGTGGAACTGCCACGGCCTCCATCGCAATGGCGACTCGCGCTCTGGAAGGTCATACACACGAAAGAGACTCGATTTGGGCTGCTATGGACGACGACGAGAGTTTTGACATGAAAAAGAGCTACATCTGGGCATGGCTGGCGTTTGGCTACTTCTTTACGGGCTTGACCCTCTACGTCCTAAACAAGGCGACCTTTAGAGTCATACATGTTCGTCAAGAGTACCTCGGCACACAGTCAACAATCACCGACAGAACGTTCCGCCTTACTGGCATTCCGCGAAACCTGCGCGACGAGGGAAAGATCAAGAAGCTCATCGAAAAGCTAGAAATCGGTGAGGTGGAGCATGTCAACCTATGCTGCGACTGGCGGGAGCTCGACTCGCTCATTGCGCAAAGAGCCCAGGCTTTGGCTCAGCTGGAAGAGACTTGGAGCGTTTATCTCGGAAAACAAGCTGCGCTCCCCAAGTCAGTCCAGCGCCTCCGCGATCCACAGGCCGAGCCTTCAGTCCTGGAGCCTCGAGAAGACGAAGTTGACGAGGAGGCCGGAGAGAACGGTGGATTACTAGGACACGAAAACATTAACCCCGAACTCGTCGAGAGACCGCGCCCCAAAGTGAGATTGAGGTATGGCTTGCTCAAACTCCAAAGTCGCAAGATAGACGCCCTGGACTACTACGAGGAGAAGCTGCGACGTCTCGACGACAGAATCCGCGAGGCGAGAAAGAAGGACTTCACCCCGACCGACCTGGCCTTCGTCACGATGGACTCGATCGCCGCTTGTCAGATGGCAATCCAGGCCCGCATCGACCCTCGACCCGGACAGCTTCTAACGAAGCCCGCACCTGCCCCTTCTGATGTAATGTGGCCCAACACGTACGCACCTCGTGGGATTCGTCGTCTCCGTTCATGGATTATTACGATATTTGTCGCTATCCTCTCCGTCCTGTGGTTGGCGGTTGTAGCGTCGATTGCCAGTCTATTGAGTGTCTGCAACTTCCAGGCATGGTTCCCTGGGATTGTCGGATTTTTCGACCAATATCCGACCCTGCGTGCCTTGATTGAAACCGGCTTGCCGACGCTTCTCGTTTCGTTGCTGAACGTTGCCGTGCCATATCTCTACGAATACCTCTCGTACGAACAAGGCATGATCTCCAAGGGTGATGTGGAGCTCTCCATCATTTCCAAGAACTTCTTCTTCACCTTCTTCAACATCTTTGTTGTCTTTGCCACATCCAACGCGGCTTTCAGCGTAGCCAACCTGGTTCGTCAGATCCAGGATGTTTGGAAGAGTCCTGCTACCCTGACGCTACAGGTTGCCGGGCAGATCCAGAGTCTCGCAATATTCTACACCAACTTCATCATGCTTCAAGGCATTGGCCTCTTCCCCTTTAGACTGCTTCAAGTCGGCAGCGTCTTCCTCTACCCGATCTATCGAATGGGTGCAAAGACCCCCAGGGACTTTGCCGAAATCATGCAACCGACGGTGTTCAGCTACGGATTCTACCTGCCGACGGCAATGCTCATCTTTATGCTGTGCCTGTTGTACAGCACACTGGCATTCGGCTGGCTCATTCTGACCGTTGGCCTCTTCTACTTCATCTTGGGTTACTTCACCTACAAGTACCAACTTCTCTACGCAATGGACCAGCCTCAACATGCGACCGGCGGCGCCTGGAGAATCATCAGCTATCGCGTCATCCTCGGTCTCTTCGTGTCGCAGGTGATACTTTCCAGTATCATGGCACTGTCGCTTGCCTTTTTCCAGTCTATTGCTGTCTTACCCCTGATTGCATTTACGATCTGGTACAGCTTCTACTTTAAGCGTCGTTTCGAGCCGCTTACGCGATACATATCTCTGCGCAGCATCCGCATCGAGATTGACCCTGAGGATGCGGCTGTACTTGACGAAGACTTCGAGGGGCCGAGACCCTCGCAAGGATTGCTTAGGCGCGGAAGCACTATTGACGAGGACAAAGAAAAGGGCTTGACCTTTGCGAATCCTAGCTTGACCTCTCGGTATGTTGAATTATGTTGAACCATGCCGATTCTTTTCTGTTCACTAACTCTCTGCAGTCTAGAGGAGCCGTGGATCTACCAGGATCCACCACCAGTTCACAATAATATGGACGACGACGAAGAGAGCGGCCCGGATACGGAGACGCCAAACGCCCCCGAGAACACGGCCTCGGCCGCCTCGGACAGCTCAATGAGCCTGGGCGACACGCACATCTGGCGGCAGCAGGATGACAGCAACAATCGCTAGTGCGTAGGAGCTTCGCCTAGCTGCTCGCAGCTGCGTCTGTAGATATCTTGACGTGTGCATACGGGAACATTACTTAATGATCAGAAGACGTTGGGGTGGGTAGCGGGGGTAACAGCACTATACCACTTGGGAGTTTGGAGTGATTGAGAGTTTTATCAAGATAATGAGAGTTCACGAACGATGCAGACATGTGGAAATGATAGGGCCAGGTGACAATGTCGTGCCATACATAACATGGTTATTTTAGATGCCATATGGAAACTAGAGGTCACGCCAAGACACCGCGGTTTTATGCTATCGTCAGCCAGGGATCACTCGCAGGAATCGCAAAACTCGTGATGACGCTGGTAAGCTTGTTGAATCCTTGCACTAGGTTTAGACACACTTCGTAGACTTTCGACGCGCCCTCATCACCCACTGAACAGATATCTTGACATCTTCTATCTCGCGATGAGCGGAGCTTGGCCGTTCCGGATCGTGAGAATGACGAGGAAGTCTACGTTCGCGGTCGGAGGTCGGGAGCAGTCGGCGGAGATGGAGGGGAGAATAAGTAGATTGGCGGGTGTCTCCTTGGCTGCATGTCAGATGGACTATCACACGGCCGATCTACTCGCGGAGAGTAAAAGTCCCGCGAAATCTGTGTGTATCTTTGCTTGTATCTGACACCGGCAACGGCAACGGTAACGGGCAGGCAGCCAAGATCTAACTGCTTGAGCTCGAGACCCGAGTGGCTGACCGACCGGCGCTGTTTCCCAAATGGCCCAAAGAGGTAGATAATCGAAAAGCCAAGGCTCACAATGCGTCACTCCGTTTATCTGTCTGGACCTGTCTGGAGACGATCGCAGGAGGGAAGCTTTTTCCTTAAAGGCTTGGCGGCTTTTGGGAACGGGGGCTAGAGGGTTGGAAACGCCGACCACGAGGTGTGCCGGGGCGGATGGGGCGCGGGAACCGTAGGCGCGAGCTCCGACTTTTTTGAGATGGTGCCCACTCTTTTTCAAATCTTGACCTTGTGAGCTAAAGGTATGCGATAGCGCTGGTGATGGTTCAACGGTTCATCAATACCCGATTGTTTACACCTTCATCTAGAATCCGTACACATCGGTAAGGTAGGTAATCATGGGATATAATCTACGATGCTGGTTGATCAGGTAGTCAGTCTATTGGGCAGCAACCGCGACAGTGCAACTCACGTCAAAGGTTAATACCCCTAAGAACTGTTCGCATCCCGCGCCATACACACCGTAGCCCATTTGTACCACGAGAGAAAGAGCCTCCTTTAGAATGAAACCTTAGCTGCCCCTATTCCCACTCCCACCATTCCGGGCTCATCTCGCAGATTTGCGTTCAGACAGAAGCACCCCCTTGGAGAATCGTAAGATGCTCTGTCATCGCAGGCTCCCACCCCCCACCCTTGACAGGTGCACTGCAAACTGCGGTCCCCCTTATCCACCTGCAGTCAGTTCTGGAACGGGTGGGAGCAGTTGGAGCCTCTGGGGCCTTTTCTTGTATCACCACATGTTGATCTCTGCGACATCGGTGCATCTGCCACCCAACTTCAAGGTCTCGAACCGCTCAAGACACGCCCGCCGGGCCCTCTTATTAACCTCTTGGCTCGCCTCGTGGTCCTCCGTCGAAGGGGAGTAGGATCGGGGGTACCGCCATGTGGAAATAATCAAACTGGACTGCAGTCTGCGGCAGCAGCGTGGGCTTCGGAACTTCCTAGTCGCCTATCAGTGGAATGGTGATACGCCCAAACACCGAGGTGACTTAGATCCTCGCTGATAACGCCGCGGGGCCAAGACTGTTGTGAGTAAGGTACAGTCCTCCCTGATACAAGTCAAGAAGTGAGTTGCTGCCCGTGGCCCCCCCCCCCCTTCCCCCACTTGGGTCCGGCGGGAATAAGCACAATCTTGCAAGCGTAATCAAATACATGCACTAAGAGTCTTAAGATCCTTGGATTTCGAGAAAACCTTTTTACTGTGGTATCCACTTACTCGAGCCTATGTTATGTTGCTGCGTTGAAGGTATCGTGCGTCGAGACCTCACCGGCCTCGTTCATATTGGCTAAAAGTCCACGGTGAAGAGAAGCATCGCCAGTGGAAGTACCTTGCCTGAGTACACTTCACGAGACCCCAAAACTTCAAGAGGCACCTAAAAAAAAGAATCTCGAAAAGAAAACAAAAAACGTGTGGGTTTTGTGGCAAGTAGATCAACTCATGAGGTTAAGAAGCTCCCAACGGCAAGTTCCATGGCAACGAAATCTCGGGAAGCCATCTGCGTGACTGACTGTGCGTCCGGCCGGAGAACCCACTTTTCAAGCCCGCCGGGTATCCACACGGTCCGTGCGTCCCGGACGAAAGGGGCCCAGCTCGGCTCTGGAATCGTAAATTCGCAAGGTGCTTCGGTAAACACCAACAGGTCGACCGATGCAAACAGCTGTATCCCAGGCTCTGTTGGCCTTTCTTGATGTCTGATCATTGACGATGAAGCGAAAATGAGGCTAATCGAGGCTCAGACAAGGAGACATAGTACTTATGGCCTCGCCGGTGAAGGACAAGGAAGAGATTCTCTTGGTTGATAAAATTATTGAGAACTTGGAGCCTCAGTTGTTGACAAGTCCTCGGCTGTGGTGAGAGAAAAAACAGACAAGAAAAATTTGGTCCAGATTGCCTCGAGTTTGAATTAGTATGACGACACCCCGAGCTCGTCCCGAGATTTCTCCCCCCTGTTCCTCAGCCCTGGGAAGGCCACACACCATCGCGGACAGCGGACCGGGACTGCCCCTGTCACCTTGAGGCCAAGACGCCCTAGTGCCGCCCAAAAGTCATTCCCTCTTATTCCCAGATCCGTCCCGCTTTTGCATTTTTGCGTCACCGGGCAGAGCCGCGAAGAAGTGTATCTTCCACGAGAACGAGAAGGGCGTCGAGGACTTTCTTCTGACTTTCTGAGATCTCAAACCTGGAATAGCATCTAGGTACTTGTCTTTTGAATATTCTTCAATTCCGAGGATGCTGTTGACATTAACCATTGAGAATCCGGACAAAATCGTCATAACGATTTGCTGGACCCGTCCTCTTCCCGCTGGGCGGGTACCTCCAAGGCTCGAATGAAGCTTTTTTCCAAACAAGGCCTGTCGACCAAACCAGACCAACATTCTCGCTCTAGTCCAATCCAGGGATAGCCTCAAAATCTGATTCAGTCTTTTTCTGAATATGAAAGGCCAGAGACGTCCCCTGCACGCGCGCCTAAACCCGGTACCGCCCTCCGTAGAGCAAAGCCAAAAAAGCAACAGTCGGCGCTCGTGTCAAACGCGCCGCCGACATTTTTGTGAGGCTCTATCTGCGCAGGCCACACAAACTGTTACTTTGTTACTTTGTTACTCTGGCCCCCCACCCCAAACCCGAATTCTTGGCTCTCGCCTCCCCGTGATGGCCGTCCCATCTGCGAGCTTACCTTGTTCGACCAGAGCCCCAAAGCTGCAGGGAGCTTGCCAGTGCATGCCCTAGAGCGGCGCGAACGGGCAGCACGTTATCTCGTACCTCTCACATGTTTCTTCTTCTTCTTCTAGCTTGGAATGTCACTCGTCGAAAAGAGGACTCCCACTCCTTTCTCGCAGTTTCTGCTGATTGACACACGCCCCCTTCGCCTTTCCGCGGTGGGGAACATCCCCATCAAGAATGGAATGGCAGAAAGATAATCAGAGAAAGTGGTCCACGAAAGCCTGACGCCTGTGTATCATCCAAACGCAAGAAGAGGAAAAGAATCCTCCCATGAACGACTCACGGACCTTGTTGTTATCGCTGTGTCTAGACTCTACTTCGTCCTCTACTGCAAATTTTGAGAGAAAACAAGGGGGGGGGGGGGAGGGAGGACAAGGCAATACGACGATAAACCGGGTTGGGCGATTCGGACGGGAAAAGCGGGTCTCCGTCCATCCAGATAAGTGGGGACCACCCCGAATGCCGCCGCCGAAGTATCCCATTCCCAACCCATAGCCCGAATTGCGACCGGTTCCCAGGCCCTGCACCACCTTATTGCGTACCTTGGATTGTTTACCCATTCTATGGAGTACAGGGGAGGGGCGTGCGTATCTTTCCTGATGCAAGGCTCCTTGTCCATCTCACACCAGCAGTGACTCAGTTCTCGCGTGTGTGGCTCTTCTTCCCAAGATGAGGCCGAGTATAAAGTCAGGGCGATGCCCACTCCTTTCATCCGAGGAAGATATCCTACTTTCCTTTGATTATCGTGTGTTCATATCGGGCCATACCCCCTAGCCCTCTATTCTTCAGACTTCCCTTCCCAAGATCCCCCCTTCCCACCCGGGACCCCCTGAAGACAACCAAACCACAACACAACCAACCCGCAAAGATGGATCAACCATCACGAACCTCATCTCACACCTTACCGCCAGGCTCCTCTTCCGACTCAGACGGCGCCGCACCAGCACCCCAATACGCCCCGGTATCCTCCCACACCCGTACACCATCAGGCAACGCCCGCCCGAACCGCCGCTCCTCCATCGCCTCAAACGTCCTCCACCCGGTAAAGACAAAGGAGGAAATCGACCCAGAGCTGGACGTCAACCTCCCCTACCGCACCCTCTCCCCCAACGCGAACCTCGACGAGTACCGCGTAGAAACCCACAATGGCGAGATCCCAGCCGGAGGCGTCGCAGCAGACGGCTCTGCAGCTCCCGCAGGTCGAGGCGACTACAAGCTCGTCACCTTCGTCCCCAACGACCCCCAAAACCCAAAGAACTGGAGCAAAGCCTACAAGTGGTACTGCACAATGGTCGTCGCCCTAACCTGCTTCGTCGTCGCCTTCTGCTCCTCGGTAATCACAGCAGACATCGAAGGCGTCGCCGCAGAGTTCCACGTCTCAGAGGAAGCCGCCCTCGTCTCCATCACCGTCTTCGTCATCGGCTTCGGCATCGGTCCCATGGCTTTCGCGCCCCTCTCCGAAATCTACGGCCGCCAGGTGATTTACGCATCCACCCTCCTCCTCGCCGTCATCTTCATCATCCCCTGCGCCGTCGCCAAAAACCTCGCCACTTTACTCGTCTGCCGCGCCATCGACGGCATCGCCTTCTCCGCGCCCATGACCCTCGTAGGCGGCACCCTCGCAGACCTCTGGCGCAACGAAGAGCGCGGCGTCCCGATGGCGGCCTTCTCCGCCGCGCCCTTCATCGGCCCCGCCATCGGTCCCCTAGTCGGCGGCTTCCTCTCCGACGCGGCCGGCTGGCGCTGGCTCTACTGGATCCAGCTTATCATGGCCTTCGTCGTCTGGGTCCTCATCTCCTTCACCGTGCCCGAGACCTACGCACCCACGATCCTCGCCCGCCGCGCCGCGAAAATGCGCAAGGAGACCGGCGACGCGACCCACGTCACGGAGCAGGACATCGACATGCGTCCCTTCAGCGAGCGCCTCGGCATCTTCCTCATCCGGCCCTTCCAGCTGCTCTTTGGCGAGCTCATCGTCTTCCTCATCTCCATCTACATGTCCGTCCTCTACGGCCTGCTCTACATGTTCTTCGTCGCCTTCCCCATCATCTACCAGAAGCGCAAGGGCTACTCAGCCTCCTCGACAGGCCTCATGTTCATCCCCCTCGCCGTCGGCGTTCTTCTCTCCGCGGCCTGCTCCCCCTGGGTGAACAAGCACTACCTCACCCTCGTCGCCAAACACAACGGCCACCCACCCGCCGAGGCCCGCCTCATCCCAATGATGCTCAGCTGCTGGTTCATCCCCATCGGCCTCTTCATCTTCGCCTGGACTTCCTACGCAGGCCTCCACTGGGCCGGCCCCGCGTTCGGCGGCTTCCCCGTCGGCTTCGGCTTTATTTTCTTGTACAACTCGGCAAACAACTACCTCGTCGATTCCTACCAGCACCAGGCCGCCTCCGCCCTCGCCGCAAAGACCTGCATCCGCTCCTTCTGGGGTGCCGCCGTCGTCCTCTTCACCGAGCAAATGTACGACCGCCTCGGCGACCAGTGGGCCTCGTCCCTCCTCGCCTTTCTCGGCCTCGCGTGCTGCGCGATTCCCTTCCTTTTCTGGGTCTACGGAGCTCGCATCCGTGCCAGGAGTAAGTACGCCTACTCTGGCGATGACGAGGAGACGTCGGGATCCGATGAGGAAAAGGCCAAGCCGCCAAAGAACGCCTTGGCTCCCACCCGCACCTTTGAGCCCGCGTAAGCGATTTGCATATCTCGACATGTATACATCTCGACACATATCAAAACACTCAACCGGTTGTTGTATACCAGCTACTTGTTCACGGCGCCTTGGCTATCAGCCCTGGATTCGTTGGTAATCTTTGTTTATTCGGCGTAAAGGGGGAGGCTGGCGTTGTATAGTGGGATCCAGGAGCGAGGGGCACATTAGACTATAGACGCATGTAAATCTCAACGGCCGGCGCCGTTCATAGGTAATCCTAAATCAAATCGAAATCAAATCAATCGGGTTCAATTGCATGCATATGTGGTTAGTGCAAGAATTTGGACAATTCAGTCCTTTCTCTAAGAGACTTTTTACCTACGCACGAGGAGCGATGCAAAAGTGGGGTGTAGGGAATCGTCTATTCGTAAGTCGTAAATTGTAGCCATCTAATTGCTCGAGGATTGAAGAGAAGGGTATTCACCAATCTACAGGTCTTTGCTTCATACTCGCCCGTCGCCAGCGGGCCTCTCATAACTCCTCAGACAATACGCACCGGAAGGGACTCTCTGCGAGACATTACAAACTCTTCCTTGACCAGCGAGTTGTCGCACTTGCGTCCCAGCATGTAGTCCTCGAGGTTGCGGAATGTGCACTCGGAGATTTCCTGCAGCGCTTCTTCCGTGAAGAAACCCTGGTGGCCGCAGATGAGGACGTTGGGGAAGGTCATCAAACGGGTAAGCAAGTCGTCGTCGATGATATGGCCAGAGTGGTCGTTGTAGAAGAGATCACCTTCGCCTTCGTATACGTCCAGAGCCAGGCCGCCGAGATGCTTAGTCTTGAGGGCGTGAACGACAGACTTGGTATCGACGAGACCGCCACGAGATGTGTTGACGAGCATCGCGCCGGGCTTCATCTGCTTCAGCGTCTTTTCGTTGATGATATGCTTCGTCTTTTCCATCAGAGGACAGTGCAAGCTGATGAAGTCGCACTTGGGGAGAAGCTCCTCCAGAGGCAGGTACTCGCCAAGCTCTTTGAAGGCGTCCGACTCGTAGGGGTCAAAGGCGTACAGCGTACAACCGAAGCCCTTCATGATGCGGGCCATGGAGACGCCAATCCTGCCGGTACCAATGATGCCCACCGTCTTGCCATGTACAGTCTTGCCAAGAAGGCCATCGAGGTTAAAGTTGCCCTCGCGTGTTCGGTTGTAGGCTCGATGGGTGCGTCGGTTGAGGGATTGGAGCAGGGCCACGGCGAACTCGGCAACAGCCTCGGGAGAGTAGGAAGGGACGTTGGCTACGAAGATGCCCAACTTCTCGGCTGTCTTAAGATCGACGTTGTTGAAGCCTGCGCAGCGAAGGAGGATAGCTCTGCAGCCGGCCTTATGGAGCTCCTCGACGACGTCGGCGGTCAGGGAGTCATTCACGAAAACGCAGACGGCATCGACGTCTTTGACGAGCGAGACGGTCTCGGTGGAGAGGGAGAAGTCGTGGTAGATGATCCCAAAGTCAGTATTGTCGTCGGCAAGTTTCGCATTGTGCTTCTTGAACTCTTCTTTCCTGACTTCGTGGGCGGCATTGATGTACTTCTTGTCGTACGCCTTGGCGCTGAAGACGGCGAGCTTCATAGTAACGGTTGGATGCGATTGAGGGGTAGAGATACCGATACCGTGAAAAGATAGTAGCTGATGGGTCAGGTATTCCGGGATAGTCTTCTGCGAGGGTGTCTACGAAGAGGATGCAGAGGAGAATGGAAAATTATTCGGAATTGGTGACGCGGATTGAGGGGATTTTGTATGAAGATGATGGCGGGAAAGGGAAGAGTAGAAGAAGAAGAAGAGGAAGAAGGAGGAGGGTCGGGAACGAAGCCAAGCAAAGGCGCGCGTCAGCTCCCTCCTGCCCTTTCTTGGCTGCTCGCAGACATATGCCATGTCTCCTTCCTCGTTTCTCCTTCCCCTGCCTTACCTTAGCTACCTACCCGTATATCTTGCCTCATGCCGCATTGGGAGCATCAAATGCGTTCTTTCCTCCTCCATGTCAATACCAATGTCAAAATCTGCGTCAGCGTCTCTCCTGTAGTTGCCCAATCCGGCCCTCAACATCAATTTCCAGCTGATCTCTGTCGGATGACGTGGATGAACCCCAACTGCAGCAGCTGCTGTTTTTTTTAAGCTTGACTTGTGGTGCGCTCCTTGAGGGAAGTGAATGCCATTCGTCTGCGCCCAGAGCTACCCCGCCATCCATGGATGATTTTCTGTCAGGTCGGGAGCTCTGGGCAGCTGGCTAACCGAAAGCAGAATTGCAACCCCACTGGCTCAGGTCCTGTCAGAGGAACTGTCAGGCACCCTGCCTTGGATTTTCAGGGGAGCCCCAGTATTTCTTCAGTCACATTTGACCGTTTTCATCGACATCACAAGCTTCACGGTTGAGAAGGCAATGTATAGTATGGTTTAGAATACTTAGTTACACCCTCACTCTTTGATCTTGGATAATCAATCTGACAACCCATCGATGTCTCCAAGCTAGGTACCTTAGGCGATTTATTGGGTGCTCTACCTGATCTATTGCAGTATTTTGTTCTCTCCTTCGGATGTTGGTGAATGAGTCAGCAGGAAGCAAGCGAGTGCAGGCCGGAAAGGCGCACACAGCTGCCGCCACAATATTGTTTTAGAAAAAGAAACTCACAAAAAAAAAAGTCTTCCATGACAATTTCGACACATGAAGTGCGTTTTGTACAATTTATTCTCATCAAAAAGCAAAAACATGATCAGTGGGAGGCTTGAACTCCCGGCCTTGGCATTACACAACATTTCAGGTGAAATATTAGTACCACGCTCTAACCAACTGAGCTAACCGACCAGTTGTTGGAAACTGCAAGGCATGGCATATTCTTGAAGGCTCGGTCTGCTCGTCTCTCCGATTCTGCCTCCTCTATCGCGGCTTTGCCATTCTTGCAGTTTGTTTTCGTCTTCTCCAGAGACTTTTCAATGAATAGAGCTTTGGGCAGGAGCAACCTGACGTTTGTATGACTAAATGTCGCTGTTTCAGGTATTTTGACGTGGTTGGCAACTGCATTCCTGCATTATTGTAACCCACACGACATGGCACTCACATGCTGTTGCCTCTTCACCTTCTCACTGCAACTGACAAGATGGAAACTCCAGTGATCGTTGAATCATCTGCTGGCAAGAAGCATCTGATGCCTGCAGTACTGGTCTTGCTCACAGGCTTGCAGAATCTCGAGTCCCCATTCTTGTGAGAACCCTTCTCGCCCACGCCATCATCTTCAATTCATCGAATCACCATTAGCATCGACATCACCCCACGTCGACACTTGCATCACCAGCAGTGCCAGAGACTTCTATCATCATCCGAAGTACGCACTGAACTCTTATCCCGGTCTCTACTCTATCATTCTCTTGAGGTATTCTTTCTTCGACGACATTCTAGTCCTCCGATTCGCAGCTCGACTCCGCCATGACGACCCAACCCGGCCAGCGTCCGCTGTTGTACAGCCATGGCCATGGCTACCACGCGGCGCAACAGCTGCCAGCTTCTCAAAGGCTCCCAATCGAGATTCTGCATGATATCTACTTATTGCTGGATCCATGCGACTTCAATTCCTCACGGCACACCTGCCGCTCCTGGCTCTTAGCCGGCATGAATGAGACTATTCTTGGCAGCATGCTATCGAGGGGCGGGTGGGCCTCGAGCATCGATAGCATTCTCGGCTTTCAAACTTGCAGCAACACGGACAGGCCGATGTCAAGTCGAGCGTCTGTCATGTCCAAATGGCTCGCTAGAGAATGCACTCTCAGCCCGCGTCACCGTGGAAGTGAGCCCGCCTTTGTCGAAATCGGTCAGACGCAGTTCATCGGCGATTCTCCGATATCTACCAGCGACGAAAGAAAGATTGTCTACACCACAAGCATGTGCGGTCGGTACTTGATGGTCACCCACGGATGCACCATACTGGTCTATGAGCTGCATCATCAGTGCGAAGAGAGTTTTTTGCGTCCATGGCCCATATCTTCTTAGAAGGAGCTTTCGAATTATCGCAAGGGTCGCAAGGGCCAACTTCGGCCTATCACTACCATTGCCTGCGGATCTCCTGTGCTCGCCTGCGCCATGGACACGACATGGGCACGCAACCATGTTGCTGTGCTCCTCCAAGGCCGTCTCGGCCTTGTCTTTGAGATCCAAGGGTTACCCGTCTTGCCCGTCAAATACTCAAACCAAAACAAACAGTGCAATTGTGGCACACAGGAAGCATCTCACCCCTTGCCCTTGCAGGCAAAACTACAATCCACGCATTACAACGTGGGCACGGCCGACTGTCCTCCTCGCTCAGTCGCCATTTGTCCCCATCGCTCTTACGTCGCCTTTGGCAGCTCTTCGGCCATCGAGATACATAATAACGATAGAAGTGCAAAGCAAAATGTCCGCCGCTTTGCTTTGTCTACACCCAGCGACTACATCTATTTTCTTCCCCCGGGTGACGCAAACGATCCAAGACGCAAACTTCGCCTGATCAGCGCCGCGTCGATCTCAGACTGCCACGCCGGCTCGCTGCAAGACGTATTGGGTGGTCTAGGCCTCAATGAAAACGACTTTACGCCCCAGGTCCCGGTTATTATCTCACGACTTGAGACGTCTGAGCTAGAGGAAGACGCTTTGAACGTCTATACCATAATGGAGCAGCAGTTGTTCGCCTCTCTCGGTCCCTTTGCCAACCAACGACGCGAGTGGACAAGAACGGAAAGAATCCTCCCGAGACCTAGATTAGCCACTGCCGACAATTATCGAGCCGTACCCTTGAGCGACGGGTCTCACATCCTCTTTACAGACCCCAAGACTAGGTACCTGAGCCTGGTATGTGATGATCCCAAATGGTCAAGGGCCGGCGTTGTGACCAAGGTGAAGTTTGTTCCACCTGCGGCAGCATGCGAGAGCGCGCCGCTCATGTATGCCGTCGGGAGAGACTTGGCACATGGTGTGCGAATTGCTGCTGTTTTCCCGACGACACGATGGACGGAAGGA